CGAAGGGTGGAGACATGCAGTCCCACACGGAAGCGTGTGTGCTTGACTGTTCCTTTTCCCACTCGCGAGTCCGGGACACCGTCGTCCTTTCTCGAAGACCCCAACAAAGAACGGACAGATCGGGCAGGGTACCTGGAGTACCTTCTTCAAGGGTTTCCCACCAAAGGTCCCCGTTTGTCGTCTTCCTGAAAAGGACAAGGTCGATCCGTGACTCAGCTATGTTAATGGTCCGCGTGCCTGGAGGGCCGGCCAAGAACCCGATGCGAAGCAGCGACAGGGTGGAAGCTCGTGCAGCGACTGAGGGACGATGTATCACAGCTCAGAAAAGCGCAGTAGAAGTCCACTGCATCCTCTGCACTTTGCACATGAAGCTATGAGAAGTTGTTGTGGCGCTTGACTGACTGGGTGCGTCTTGCAGCACATGGCTCATAGTTTCCACGGCACGCAGCACACTTCGGCCATCCGGCACAAGCAAGGATCAGAACCAAACCCCAGCTAGCTCTTCCTTGCACGTGGACGACCAGATCTAGCCAAAAGCGGAGGAGTGTCGGCAGATCCGCGAACCGGCGAGCATGGCAGCACCGGCCCAAGTTTCTTCAACCGCAGAGCTTTCTATCAGGCCGCCAGTCCTGATTCCTGGAGCCGTAGCACTATACACCTAAACAGCAAGCCACAAAAGTCTGAAGCTACATTCTTTTGAGACCCGACCTGAATCCTCCAGTGAACTAAACCCTAAAAGCCTGAGAGAGTCGCATGGAACTTGTGTTTCATACCCCTAAAGCCCTGAAAACCCCTCCCTGACACCCGGCTCTAAGACGGCTGAGGCCGGCCCCGGCCCAATCCCCGTGGAGGTAGATGACCTGCCGGAAGGCACAGACAGGGGCCAGACGTACTTCTGCTTCCCCCAGGCTCAACTCAGTGATTAGTGATGGGAGGAGATGGCTTCGCTTGCACCTGTCAGGTCTACTACTACTGCAGGGCCTTGGAGAAGGTGCCCTCCGTGGATGCGTGCCGGGCCCCCGGGTGTCGGGTGTTCTGGATGCGAGGTGCGGTGGCAGCGTCCGAAGGCGGAAGATGCCCAAGAGCCCTTTGTGCTTCCGGCCTGCTTGTTGGGGCCTAGACTGGGACTTAGGGCCCAGGGATGCTGCCTCTGAG